CATGAACTGAAAACTGAAGGAAAAATCAATAACCAGATTAAGGGGTAGGTGGAAGAAAAAGAGTTTTTAGGCAGAAATAAAAGAATGGATAAGGCAATGGCACAATGCCCAAGGGTTAGAGAACTAAGAAGCTTTGTTTGGATGAAGAGAAAGCAATGATGACATCCAGAAAGGAAAATACTTAGTGGTTATGCTGATCAAGAGAAACCCATGCTATTGAGAGAAGAAAGCTGGGTCCAGGTCATACACAAAGTACTCTGGACTTCATCTTAAGAACAAAGGTGAGCTCCTGAAGAGACAGGAGGGTGATGTGATTAGTTATGTTTTAGAAAGGTCAGACACATTAATGCATGGCAAAATTGGATACAGGGAGACAACTGTAGGAATTCTGGTTAGGATAATATCCTGAAGTTTTAAACTTCTTCTTTGAAAGTACTTGTCATTTGGATTTTCTTATTGTCATGGAGTTGCTTTTCTTTTTCCTCCACAGTGACTTCTGTTCTTCTCTGTTTCTAAGTGATAGGGCTCTGCAGTGCTCACTCCTTAGCCTTTTTTCTTTATTCGCTCTCATTATCCAGTGATCTCATCTAACATAATAGTTTTAAATATCATCCAGACACTGACAAGCTTCAAATTTATGTCACTAGCCAGCCCAGTCCTCTGTCCTCCAGACCCATATATTCAACTGCCTACTCAACCTACCTAGAGATGCGATAGGTATCTCAAACTGAACTCTTGATTCCGGCTCCAGATTTGCTATACCAAGCTTTCCCCATTTCCATGATGGCAGTGCTATCCTTCCTGTTGCATAGCCAAATGTTTGAATCATCTGTAACTTTTTTTTTGTTTTATACTCAACACCCAGTTCACCAGCAAATCAATTGTTAATGTTTGTTACTATTTGGCCCAAACTACAGTCTTCTTTAATCTAGATTATCCTAACATCCTGGAGATTGTACCAGATTATTGTCATAAGAGATTACTGTAACAGATCCCTTTGCATCTGCATTGTTTCTCTATAGGTTTACAGCAGTTAGAGTTTGTCTTTGAAAATATTAGATCATATCATTCTGAATAAAGACCTCAAAATCTTCCCCTTTTTCTCAAGAGAAAAGATCAAAGTCCTTAGCATGGCCTAGGATACCCTATGGAGTTTATCCGTCCTTCACCTGACTTCTCTGACCTTTGCTTTTACTCTTCTTCCCTTTGTCACTAGTTCCAAGTATCTTGGCCTCCTTAATCTCCATCAGACTTTGAGCAAGCTCCCGTCACATAACCTTTGCACCCTGCTATTCCTTTGTCTTGAATGTTTGTTCCCCAGATACCCAGAAGTTTGTTTCCTTCTTTCCTAGGTCTCTTTTCAAGTATAATTTTATTAGACACCATCTCTGAACATCTTACACCAAAAAGGAATCCTCCCTCCAAGCTTCCCTAAATCCCTAACCCTATTGTATCTCTCTTCATAATGCTTTACACTATCTCGATCACACTCAGGGCTGTGCATTTTCTGCCTTGTTTATTTATCCCACTTCCCTTCGCTGAAACCATGAGATTTATGAAAGTAGAAACTATGTGTTGTGCTGAGGGCTGATTCTCCATCCCCTTGAACATCTTTTAACACACAGTAAGCACTTAGTAAATAACTTGAATGAACACAGGGAAGGATTTCAGTGCAGTATAAATGGGGAGAGGCAAATGCACTTGAGATCTCTTTTGGTAAAATAATCAGATTGTGATGATTTACTAGGTACTGAACAGAAGGGAGATGAAGAAGACAGAAAGGAGTAGGGGAGGCTATCAAGTTTCTGACTCAAACCAACCAAGTTGATGGTAAACCATTCACTGAAATAGAGAAGATGTGAAGAAGAATAGATTAGAGACAGGGACATAGCAGGATAAATTCAATTGTGAAGTTCAAATCAAGGTTATGGGGACATATTTAACTGAAGATGTCCTGGAGCTACTGGATTCTGAAGCTATTAATTGGATTCATGCTGAGCATCCATCTCTGTTAGGTACAGAACAACTATGTGGGAAGGGGATGAGGAGAGAACATGTGGAGCTGAGCTATTTTTAAAAGGAAAGCTAAATCCTGTTAGTTCACCCTTCAGGTGAACATGCCCAACCAACCACACCCCAGGAGCTCTCAGTCTTTCAGGAAACTACATTCTCCAAGCTGCCAAGGAGTCTCATTGTCTGAATGGAACCATTTTTCAGTCTGGCTCTTTGGGTGTGTGTTTGCCATTCACAACCTACTATATTTTATTGCACCTCCTGACATTGTTACACAACATTTATTGAAAGCACATTTGATGGTAATGAAGTTTCTATTAACTATGATTAAATCTCATAAAGCACCTGAAGATAATTTAAGATGTGCAGAAGCAGAAAATGAAACATTCGGTTTAGTACATTAGGAAACGTAATTGATTAAATTATCTCATTTACAATAAGTGCTTTCATGAGCTATGCAGTGCACATATTTCCCCCAGTTTGTCATTATGATTTGCCAACAGAATCTTAAGACTTCACTTTCTTTTTTGCACCTCCCTACAACTCAGAGCTGGGTCCTCTGCCCGCCTGCTGCTGGAAGACTGTGTTTAACACTCCGAGTGATGCTTCCCATCCACCAGGTCTGGCAGGGGATCATATGTACAGCTATATATAGGAACAGGTTGTTTCTCATTATCTTCATAATTGACTTGGATTTTGCATGAGTGATGATTCATGTAGTCTTAAACTAAGCCCCACTTTGACAGAACCACTGCAGCCTGAATTTGTATAATGCACTCCTAACCATGCAGCTTACAGAACCCCGATTGGATTCCTCTGGGAGCCTTTTGCAATCACATTGATTCTGCTAAGGTTTTATTTTTTAGGGAAATCACAAATTAAAACTGTTTAAGCAATTCCGTTGCAGTATCCAGCAATTAAGCATGGTGCTCAGGAGTGAGAATCCCAAGTAAAAACTAATTCAGGAGTCCCTAAGGACAAGAAATGGCTTCTGTGGGGTTTATGGCTGGAAGTACAGATGTAACCAAATTAGAATGGCACAGGACTCACAAACTAAGTGTGAAATTAATTTTTAAAACACACGTGAATTTCTAAGTAGCCCTCACTTTGGCCGCCAGACGGCCACATGAGATCTTGCTCTTGCTGTACACCAGAACCAACTGATGGTGTGAACATGTGACCAAGAGGAGCTGAGTGTCCCCACACTCCCCTCCCCAGGGACACAGGCAAGGCCAAATGTTCAGTGACTGTTTTTTTTCTTCTTTGCTCAACATGTGCACACACAAACACATGCACAGCCATGTTACCCCAACCTCCATCTTACTAAGAATTCAAAATCACTCATGCTGTTCCTTAGGGACCAAATACTCCTTTATGAGCAGCTGACAGGAGAGAAAGAAGAGAGTTTGATTTTGGTGTTTCACAAAATTCCCAGACTCTGCAAGTAACGGCATCACTGTATCTCCAGCCTGTCTGCTGGAACAGAAGGAATGGTGAGCAGGATGGACTTTCTGGCTATTTCTCACCTGTCTCCTGATGCCTACTCAAGACACCCATTTCTATCTATCTCTCCTCACATAGTCTTAATTCTTTCAAAGAAGTTAACTAATAAATGTTATTAACTCCCTCAAGCTGTTTGAATTTTAATGCTGTTGGATTTAAAAGATCAGATGTTATTCATTTTATCCCAAAATGTGAGAAATTGGGCAGGGACATCTTCCACAAGCTTTACAAAGCAAACCAGCTGAGCAGCTAACTCTGCCAGTGCTAAGAGCTGTGCTGCTGATGGCATCTCTCCTGAGGTACCTATTTCTGAGTGTATATTAGTAGAGCATATTAACAGGTAGATTCTTGGCAACAACCCCTACTGGGGATTCTAATTCATTTGTTCTGTTTTGGGGTGGGGTATATTTAGTAGAAACCACATCCCAAGATTTGCATCCATGTGGTCTCTGATTCAATATATTTTTCCCCACTACTGGGGATTGAACCCAGAGTTTTGCACTGAGCCACATCCATATATAAGGGTCATGCTAAATTGCCATATTGCCAAAGCTGGGCTTGAACTTGTGATTTGCCTGTCTCAGCCTCTCAGAGTGCTGGGATTATAGGCATACACCACAATTCCTGGCTTCCAATCTACCTTTTGAATAATACTTTTCTAAGACAGTGGTTTTCAGTCTAAGTAGCACATTGGATTCACTTGGGCAGCTTTGAAAAATAGGGATTTCTGGGTTCTAATACCACTCAATGCAAATTCTGATTTCATTGATACAGTTTGTGAACTGGGATTTTAAAAATGCCTCCAGGTGATTCTAAAGTAGTCAAAGCTAAGGACTGCAGGGTCGAATGTCAAGTTGCTAATCATATAAGTCATGTTCCTTTCTCCAAATCTACTGGATGCAAAAGTAGAAATAATGCCAAAGCCTCTTTAGTAAGCAAGCCTGCATCTAGCAAGCGAAAGCTAGCACCAACATCAGCATTCTCAGCTCATAATTATCTCACTGTGGAATTCTGGCTCCTAATCTACCCAGTTGCCATGGAGGTCCAGGCAAGTAGGATTCTGATTTGCTTCAACAGCTCTGCTTTCTCCTCTGCCTCCTGCTGTTCCTTCTCCATGGAGCTGCTTGGAGTCAGCCTCTTGACCAAAGCCTGCTCTCATGAAAGTGTGTGCTGACAAATATTTATTAATTTTAATGCTATAAATTTCTCCAGAAATAAGAATCCTAGATGACATTTGCAGAGCAGTGGACTTGTAGGCAGAAAGAATCAAGAAGAGAGATTTACTTTTGCTCTGAGGGAGGGGAGAGGTGTGCATATTTCTTTTTTATTTAAACCTCTGATAGGCAACTCTGAACTCAGTGAGAAGCCCCCAAAGCACTGGCTCTTTCACAGGGACTTCAATTCTGCTTGGTTCCTAAACAAGTACAACAGTAAGGCAGCAAATATGAGAATAAATTATATTCACAAGAGGAAAAATAACTTACTTTGGGGTTTTATTTCATGAAGAGGTTTTTTATCTAAAAGAAAGAAAGAGAAAAAGAAAGTTGCATTTAATAAATTTCCATGGAGCAGATATATTTCCTATATCACTTTATATCTACCTGTTACATTTTCTACTTTTTTGCAGATAATATGGATTCTGCTGTCCATAGTTTTCTTTTTCATTCTAACATTTTATCTGTCTCTTTTGAAATGTTTTCCTAAGATGATTATTTTTTTAAATTTTATTTTTCCTCAGGTTCCCTAGCATTTTTCTGTGTGGCCTATGCTAGATTCTTATCAGCATGATAAGGATGGTGAGCTTGCTCCCCATTCCTTTTTTATGTACAGCAACAAGCCTGATCAGGTAAGAGATGCAATTTCACTATATACTAAGATAGAAAGGGAAGGCAGTGGATAAATATTCAAAGTGATCCTGCACTGATTTGCTGTAATCATGGGTGGATGTGGAGTCCAAAGGGCACCTCTTGAGCCATTCTCTGGGGCTCTGGGTGTGACTCTGTGAGCATGTTAGGGTTGTGTTGTTAAATCACTTTGTTTGCCTCATGTCTTCATTGTCTGTTAAAATATGTAGCATCTCTCAGTAGAAAGTGAGTCATTTTATAACCACAGTATTTAGCAGCGGCCACCAGATGAGGTGCAGGGCGAGAAGACACTGGGCAGGATTCGGAGTCAGAGCTCAGCACCTTTGTCATTTTTGTCATTTCTCCCCAGTGCCCTCCATCATCTCTCCTGTCCCATCTCCCAGCAACAAATCGAATCTTGCATACTGATTCCATGGAGACATGGCTCTGTGGCTCACTTGGTTTTATACCACAGTACCTCTACTCCCTAGTCCCTCTCCCCTGGTCCTATCTCTGGTTAACAAGAAGCCACCACACTGCAGAAGTCACTAACCTTCAGATACCACACCAACATTCCAGAGGATCACATAGCATTTGTTCCTACTCTCATCCCTTTCTGGGGTCTAGGTGCAGTACTGGAGGACTGGAAGAACTAAGCCTGTATTGCATGGTCTCCTTCCACAGACTTCTGCTCTGTGTGCCTGAAGGTGAGCTGCCCAGGGTGAGACTGTCATTTTGGATGTTTTTAACTGAATCAAATCCACGACACTACCCATTTGAGCACTTCACAAATACTATCCAACTGACAGCACTGAAACCCTCCCAGGCAGATAAATATATTCAGAGTCCACCATGGGATCTTTTGTAGCCTAACCTATGCTTACCTTCAATGCTGATTTGGACAGAAAAATGCCTCATGGTATATAAATGTAGTGTGCTTTAAATACAGCTCTTGTGTGTTTTGCCATCTAATTGGTTATGGAGGTAACCTTTACAAGTTGTGAATAAATCACACATTTGCAAATGAGAGGAAAGAGAAAGTGAGATGCTGAAGGGTAATATTGGCAAATCTTTCTTTAAAAAGAAAAATCCCCATAAAATAATTTGTTTAAGTAGATATGATCATGTCAGATTTTTACAGAGTCAGGTTTTAAAAACATGACACTTGCATACTCCTTACTGCACAGACTCAGCACCACTAGATTTCCCCAGAGCAGGTGGCTGCCGTGGAAGTCCAGATGCTAATGCACTCAAGAATTAGAATGAAATGACTTTGGTGGGTTTAACCTAACTTCAGTTTTTGCTTATTGCATGGTATATGAAAGCATTTGGCAGGGGTGCAGCAGTGCTGGCAGGCCAAGGCTAAGACGTCGGAGAGTGATGCATTGCGATCACTACAGGAGGAGGCATGCAGAACATCTGTTTGGAACTCTGGGTGAGCTTAACAGTATTTTTCTTCCTTCTGAACCACAGGAACGGAGATTATGCCAGGTCCCAAAATAAAACTGAATTTAAAACTGGTGAGATATATAATGACTCTGAAAAAAAATCAAATATAGCCAGGCCAAAAAAAAAAAAAAAATCCACACCCAAAACTGGGGTGGTAGATTTCTGCTGGTATATCTCTAAAAGAGGAAATAGAGAACAGTGTGAAAGTGCCCAGGCCAAGGCCCACAAAGGTACACTGGAGGGGCCATTGCCCCCCAGCGTATGCTCTTACGCTATGGTCATTGTCAGTGTGAAACTAGGGCCAACTCAGTCTAAGAAGTAGATTGAAATGTTGAACTTTCTACTTTCTTCCTGCGTGCCCTCAGTGTTTTCTACAGTAAAATGGAAATGATGATAAATGCAAACACATGCAGTATAAGTCTAACATGTCTGTCTTCAATAAATGCAATGGTAGCTAATAATTTAAGTAACTGCTAATAGTGATGGTGACTATTATGAAATTTATTCAGAGAGAAAAATGCCTACTTATGCTACTGCTTGGAGATAAGTCGTAACTGAATTTTGAGAATGCTTAAATGAAAGTTACACTAGTGTTTAGACCTTGCCTCTGCTCTTATGAGACCCCTGTGAAGCAAAACTGTGGTTTCCTCATATGTAAAAAGATGGGCAGAAACCAGAAGGCTGCTATGGCTCCCTTGCCTTCACCTGTTATGCAAAATTTATTCTAAATGATTTCTTAAAACAGAGTAAAAAAAAAGGGCTGCTCTGTCTGCCAAGATTCTTACTGCTGAAATCCAGCATGTCTTGTGCATCTGGCAGCGTCCTCTGATGGAAAAAGTTGGCTGCGTCTGGGGCCCAAAAGAGCTTTAGTCCCCAGGCCTCAGCATCAAATCTGGATTTTGCTGTCCAGTATCTGTGTGAAATAATGTAACCCTGACAGCAAGCTGCAACACAGAGCATTTTCCTGAACAGAAATGTCTGATCTGACATCGGTTCACTGTGAGAACCAGGGAGGACCACAGGCTGACCCCTCTAACTCTGCAAGAACTGCCCACCCCACATTCCTTGTTCTATCATTGTGTTTGCACAATTATTTTCTCAAAAGGTGCAGGGCCATGCAACAGCTTGGCCTTGGTCAACAAATTCCTCTCTGCTTTAATTTTACATCTTCTCAAAGGCCATATTCAAATGACCCCTTAGTAAATTAATCCATTAGGGTTGTGATTCTTAATGTGGGTGGTACAACAGAATCACCTGGGGAGCTTTTAAAATAAATGCACTTGCCTGGGCCCCACTCCAGGAGATCCCGATTAACTGGGGTTCATGTTTTTATGATTATTGCCACTTCCTGGCAACATACCTGGGACTCTGTGTGGCCCATCACAGTCCGTTTGTGCCTCCCTAAGGGTCCTTGGGGGGCATCTATGGTTCACAGATAGGCCCAGGAGAGTCCCTTTTGTATACTATAGGCAGAGAAATGTTGATATTTCAAGCCAGTGGCAGCTGAGCTGTGGTTCTATGTTATATACTGAGAGGTATCTTCAAGGTAAAGGAAAATTGATAAGTAATTATAAATCAGTTGTGTAGTCTGTGTAACTACAAGTTAGATTTGAAAGTGGTTTTTAATAGTGTTTTAAATTGTCTTTTTTTTCTTTTAAATCATTTTTATTGTTTACAGAGCTATTAAGTAGTTACTGCCTTCAAAATAAAAAAGTATAAGCAAGCACAAAAGAAATTTTAAAAGCTCAACATATAGTAAACAGATAGCCATTGTTAATGTTTTGTTATACATACATGTCTAGGTTTTTCCCTAAATATATATTTATATATATATGATTAAATATACATGTATGTGGTGATAGAAATATTAACACAAAACTACATGAAATTGCCATTTATCATTTTTAACAACACAAATCTATAATTATCTTTTGTATATTGTTCCTCAGCCTTCTTTTGTTGTTTGTTACTGCAGTGATAATACTGCTCTGTTAGCTTGTGTGTGACAGCATGTATGTGTATATGCATGAAAAGGAGGGAGTGTGTGAAGGAGACAGAGAGCAACATCTACCTTTCATTTTTGGTGTTGATTCATTCCTAATTTTCTTTTGCTGTTTTGATTTCCTTTTTTATATCAATGCCTGTAAATCATTTCCATGGCATCCACTGTTCTTAGGAGCTATTTAAAACTGCATCCCTACAACCCACCTACGTCCTACCTCTCTCTACTGGGGGACAAATGTGATCAGCTGAGTGCAGCCCACCTCCCGGGACCTCAGAGAGCAGCCCAAGGGAGAAGGCATTGCAGACAGATGGGCTCCATCTCTAACCTAGAGTGGGCCAGGGACAACTCCTCAAAAGCTGCTAGTTGTGATTATTTGAACACCGTACAGATGTGTTTGGTAATACAGTCTGTACTGTTTTTAGCTTCAGTCACAGGGCCACTAAGTATCCACTGAGACAGCAATGCTATTCCTAGATAGCAATTTCAATATATCCTTATAGTCAATGGGTATCATTTTTTTATTTCATCAGATATATTATTTACCACCTTTTTATTTTCAATGATGACTTTTATTATTTCCTTTATAGATCATAGTTTTGAAAACTTTTTGTGTTGTTGTATATTCCATATTCTTTGAATGCTAAAATTGATAAGAATAATGCATCTTTTTTCCTTAGTTTCATTTTATCATTATCATTATCATTATTATTATTATTATTATTATTATCATTATTATTATTTTGGTACCAGGGATTGAACTTGGGACCTTGTGCTTGCGAGGCAGGTGGTGGCATCACTGAACTAAATCCTGGGCCCTCATTTCCTTATTTGTTGCAATAATTCTCTGGCATCAGCATGCAAGATTCTCCCATGATTCCTCATTGTCTCCAAGTCATAGCCAAGTAGTCTCCTTACCTTTATGGCCTTACATTAACTGGTTCCACTATACCACATCTGACTTTCTTTTCAGCAGAGTACCTCAACTCAAAGCCACACGCTTGTGGTAAATCTATTAACTCTGCAGTCTCATCTCAAAGCTACTGACCACATCATGGCCTGTCCCCTAGCATGCCCTTCTTCCTCCAATGTCCCATATACATGTCTCTTGCCAAGGCACAGATAAGTTTCTGACTCTGTCACGAAATCTTTGGAGATTACTCTATTTATTTGGATAGCTCCCCTCTCTGGATAGTTTGTCTTACAATTACTAAAACATGAG